TTGCTAATATTCCCTCCTGCACGTTTCTTTGTTGTTTTTTTCATTTCAGTTTTTTTTTTGTATTTATTATGTGTATTTCAGGCTACCTCTCCCCTCTCCCTCCCCTTCTCCCCTCTCCCTCCCCTTCCCCCTCCCCTCCCCTCCCCCTTTCCCTCCCCCACCTCTGTGTATGTGTGACACCACTTAGGAGTCAGTTATCACCTTCTTCCTTCTTTGAGTCAGATCTGTCTTGGTTCTGTGATTATACTGTGTATTCCAGGCTAGCCAGCCTGTAGGATGGCAGACTACTCTCTCCTCTCTGTCTCCCATCTTGCCACAGGATAGCAGGGATAATAGATACACACACTACTGCATCTAGCTGTTTTATGTGGACTCCTTGGGCCCAAACACAGGCCAGCAGGCTTGTGCAGGAAGAGCTTTCGTTCACTGAGTCAACTCCTTAGCTCCTCCATTGCTTTTAAAGTCCAGTCTGTTAGAGATCTGATAAAACAGAAAAGAAAACATTAATTGCTAGATGTTTACAGTTTGGCGTTTGTTTAAATTTGTCCTTTAAAGCACTTAAGATTTGCTTTGGTAAAGGGTTTTTCACTTGAGTTTCCCAAATGACCATCTGTCTCACGTGTTACCTGCTGGATAATTCTTCCTTCTGACATGCTATGCTTCCCTGAGCATTTATTAAATCATCCTCTGCACCCCATGCTCTTCCTGAGTGTTCTATTTTGATCCACTGAAGTCATCTATTTTTACTCTGGGACTATGGTGTCGTAATTATACAGCACCCTAATACACTTTGACAGAGCTTTGTTTCCCCCCATTATCCTTCTTTGTCTGAATTACACTGGGAATTAATCTTTGAGTTAAATGGAGTAATTATCTTTCTCCATTCCTCCGCCTTTGCGGGAAAAAAAAGTCACTTTGTGTTTGCTTGGTACTGGAAAGTTGAGTGCTTTTTTTTTTTATAGCTTTGAAGGCTTTACTCTTGTGAAATGTTTCAACTTTGCTTAGGAAGGTGTTTTAGATCTTGGTCTGGTTTTATGACTCTCTTCACATGGCAATAACACTGGTCTTGATATTATTATTCTTTCCTGCTCAGAGTCTTTTGAATGTCACTGCAGCAAATCCGTCCCCACCCAGGTCCAGCTCATTCTCTTCCCCCACAGCACAGGTCATCCATCTTTCTGTTCTCAGCGCCAGATACGGTCCAGACCTCATTTGTTTTCTCCAGCTTCGGAGGAATACCTCTAAGCATAGATCCTCACTTAGCCTCCTAGCCCAAAACACCACTGTGGGAATCACCAGTCACATGGGAGGATGGGCAACAGCCAGAGGGTAGCAAGATGCTTCGCTTATCCCAGCCTGTCTCCTCTCTTGCTGGGCAGAGAATGTTCAGAGAATTATAACTTACAACTTACTTGTTGCACCTCAATCATAGCTTCACAAACAAAAAAAACTTTTATAAGAGGCCAAGGAGATGACTCAGTGGTTAAGAGCCCTTGTCGTTGTGTAGAAGACCTGGGTTCAGTTCCCAACATCCACACAGTGGCTCACAACCAATCCCAGGGGATTGGATGCCCTCGTTGGTAGGCATCAGGTGCACACATGGCACATACATATATATGTTGATAAAATACTCAATACGCATAAATACTTAATACACATAAATAAAATAAACTTAAAATTTTTGAATAAACTAAAAACTTGTTAAAAGACAGAGAATCCTCATCCATGTTCAAGGTGAAGAGGAACAAGCAAAGAGCTGGCTAGCAAAGAGAGAACCTTCTGGACTTCTAGCAGGATGAGACAGCTTTTGGCAAAGCATAGCCATGCTGCTGACATCTATTCCCAATGGGGACATGGATTCCAGATGGTCAGGGTCACTCACGAGCAAGCACCAGCTGTGATGGCTCCAGGTTGAAGAGTACCTGATCTCAGATGCCCAGCTTCAGTAATATTATTTATAGTGCCTAAGACACAGACACAGACCCTGTGTTTTGAAAGAGACAGAGAGCAGGAAATGGAGTATAGAAAATGTTTGACCTTTCTATGGCTGTGACAAAACACCATGGCCAAGGCAAGCTAGAAAATAAAGCATTTAATTTGGAGGCTCATGGTTCCAGGTTGTTAGGAGACCATGAGGATGGCGGGGACAGTGGCAGCAGGTAGGCAGAGATGGTGCTGGTACCGTAACTGAGAGCTCACACCTGATCCTGAAGCAGGAGGCAGAGAGACAGAGAACTAACAGAGATGGTGTGGCCTTTTGAAACCTCAAATCCCACCCCAGTGACACTCCTCCCCCAGCAAGACCACACCTCCTAATACTTCCCAAACAGTTCTACCAAACTGGGGACCAAGTATTCAAACATATGAGTGTGGGGGCTACTCTCATTGAAACCATCACAAGAAAGAAAAGCAGGATATGGGGAAGGAAGAAGGAAGGGAAAGAGGGGGAAGGCTCCTATTCTGACATATTCCTAAGGGGAGAGTTGTGCTTTCTCATAGGATGGGCAGGAACAGGGTTTTAGAAAGTGTTTGCAGTGCAGTCCCTTTGGTCACCCATTCCCCAGCTTTCTGGGTAGCTGTGACTCAGATGATTGTTTGTTGCCATTTCCAGCTGTATCTAACAAGTGACCACAGGACCCTTATGAAGTCTTCTGTGAAGTCCTGGCTCCAGGAGGTGACTCTGTCAGATGACGTCACCCATCTGAACTGCTGGCAGGCTGCCTTCCTCGACCCCCAGCTGCGTCTGGAATATGAAGGCTTCCCAGTCAGGGTGAGCTTGGCATGTGGGACACTGGGACCTGGGATCTGTGCAAGGAAGGGCTGTGGCTCACAGTTGCCAGTCAAGCAGGGGCTTACTGTAGCTCCAATTGCAAGTAGACTTTGTCTTTTTCTTTCATTTATAACTCAAATGTGGATAACCCCAGTCTGAGGCAGCACTCCACAGTCCTGTCTCTCAACCCTGGCTGCAGGTTAGAGCCATTCTTATACTGTGCAAAAGACCCAGGAGCTGTGGACTCTCCCAATAAGGCTGCCAGCAATGGATGAGAGCCCAACATGTAATACAACTCCCCAGTCTTGATCATACAGTCTTCATTAGGTCAGTCTGCTTCCCCTCTCCCTTTCTCTTCTCTCCTTTTCTCCTGCCCTTCCACCCTTTCCTCCTTTTGCCTCTCCCTTCCCCCACTCCCTTCCCCTCCCTTCCTCCATCCCTGCCCCCTTCCCCTCTCTCTTTTTATTCACCTTCTCATCCCCTCCCTTTGTTTTTCTTCTGCGTTCCTTTACCTCCTTCCTCCTCCCTCTTCCCTCCTCCCTCCTCCCTCCCTCTCTCCCTCCCTCCTTCCCTCCCTCCCTCTCTCCCTTCCTCCCTCCCTCCTTCCCTCCCTCCCTCTCCTCTTCCTCTCTCCCTTTCCCTTCCTTTCCTCACTCTGTAGCTCAGACCAGCCTGAGACTCTTCATTCTTCCAAGCACTGGAACAGGTATCACTTGCTTGATGACCCTTAAGTTCTCATCCCCAAAGATCCTGGGCAGCTGAAAGAAGGGATGGGGACAACAGGCAGCCACTGAGGCAGGCACAGTCTCTGATCACTCTTGGTTTAGACTCTGGGCCAAGTGTGCCAGAGTATAAGGCATGGTTGTTTTGGGAGGTTCCCATGGTCACAGAGCAAGATTGCTACCTCTCAGATCAAAGGAGGCATCTGTTACACAGAAGGGGAGGACCTATTAGGAATCACGGCGAGCATCTGGTATCAGCAGCTTTATTGGACTGGCCAGAAAAGGGGGTCCAGTCCCAGGCTACTCTGAATCTGCCCCAAGCACTGGGTCTATCTCTTTAAGGTTTAACCTTCTGGAGGTTCTTTCGTAGTTATATAAGGTGGGTGGTGGTCACCTTATCCACAACAAAGCAAGCTTGGCAGAATTTTCTCTGCCATCCTTTAGCCATCTTTTCCTAGCTTGGCTTTACTAGAATGGACGTGGCTATGGCCTTCATTCCCTCTAACCAATGCCTCTGTAAGTTAGAGGTGTTCATGATACCTCCTTAGGGAGTTTTGTGAGAACCCAAAGGTTAGGTCACAGCTCATTGCTGTCTGCTGGCCCTGGCTGTGCTTTTTGTGGGAGAAATGTGGCTGCAGGATTCTTTGTCCCAGTGATGATTCACCCCGTTGCGATCCAGGAAGCTCTGAATCTCACTCAGGCAAGCTTGCATATTGCCCTCTAGCCCAGATCTCCCCAAGCTACCTTACACATGCTACTGCTGTCTCAGCAGACCTCCAGCTGCAGCCATGGCTAGGCAAGCTGGGGGACATCAGCTGTGGAGGTAACACATGTGTACCGGGAAAGTGGGGTGCCTCAAGCAAATGCTGTCAGGAAGGAGCTGAGAGACTTTAGTTAGGTAGGTTTGGTGACAGTTCCTGTAAAGGGGAATGCTGTGGCTTTGGAGCTGACCAGAAGGCAAGGGAGATCTGAGCATGTCAACTACTCCTCCCTCAAGGGAGAGCAGACTGGCGCCTGACTGAGACTGTTGAGTAAGGAAGGAAGGAAGGAAGGAAGGAAGGAAGGAAGGAAGGAAGGAAGGAAGGAAGGAAGGAAGGAAGATAGATGGATATACCTGCTTGTCTGCTGGGAGTTTTCTGGCTTGGTCACAGCTCATATTTTGTTGGTTCATATGTGACTGAGGTGGTCTTGGTCCTGTCCAGACCAGTTGTGATCATAGTGGCTTTAACTGATGTGGAGTTCTGTAAAATGAGCTCTGCTCACCAGGAGGGCATGGCTTTGGGAATCAGACCAGCTTGCATGCCAGGGGCTGCCCCTTTCCCTTTTGACAGCGCTCATCTTACAAGGGTCAGAGTTATAAGACAATGTATCTTATATATTTGGTCAATTGTGGTGGCTCACATCTGTAGTCCCAACATTCCAGAGGCTGAGGCAAGAGGATCATAAGCCCTAGGCTAGCATGGGGTATACAGCTAAGTCCCAGTCCCCAGGAAATTCTAATTATAAACACAATATATATTCATTTTCAGAGTCATTACAGATATGAAAACCACTAGTATTAGTTCAGTCTTCCAGAAGCAACCACTTTATGTGCTATTTTTTTTCTACGCATATGAATACATATGCATAGGATATATATATATATATATATATATATATATGTATATATGAATGACATCCTGAGTCGCTATGGGGATGTCTCAGTGGGCAGAGTCCTGTGCATGTAAAAGGCAGGTAAGGCAGCATGTACCCTGTAACTCTAGTGCTAGGAGCCAGATGCAGGAGAATTCCTGAGGCTCTCTGGACAGCCCATGTAGTTGATCAGCACCAGACTTAATGAGTGATGCTTTCTCAAAGAATAAGGTAGAATGCAATGGAGAGATAGCCATTGTCTCTTCTGGCTTCCATGTGCAGGAACACACACGCACACAAGCATCTGCTACATGTGTGCTTACACCCACACAAACATGTATGTATACCATACACATAATCAGGAACTCCTAAATACATACATGTGTATACACATGCATGTGCACACATGTGAGTATTTAATATCATTAGCTATATTCCACATTGTCAAAGGTCTTCTTTGATATGACTTTGAATGATTATTCTACCATGTAGATATCTACCATGATGCATTTCATCAAGACCGTCATAGTTCTCCAGCCTTGTAAGTTACATGTGTGCTATATTGAAATGAATATGTTAATATATTTCTAGACCTTTGCTTCTAGGAAATTGGACAGAATGCTAATAGCACTTTCTTTTCCTGTTCTCTAAAGGCAAACGAGAAAGTTGTCATCTATCATCGTCACACAAACCGAGCCCTGGCAGTCCACCGGAATCTCTTCTTAAGGTATCACACTGGCAGAGGCAGGAGAATGCTCTAATTGGTTCAGGGCCATGCATGTAAAAGCAGAGGTGTTAAACTAAAATTCCATGTCTAGACATTCTAGGTAAAGGTCTTTAGATGCTAAGTTAAAAGCAACAGCATTGTTTCATTTTTATCGCCAAGGTTTATAAGAAATTATTTAAAAGTAAGGACCAATTTTTAGATTTCATTGATTGTTTTCAGCTGCTCTTAAGCACACTAAACAAGTCAAGCATGTAGAGATACTTACTGATGCTGAGCATCATTTGAATACTTCGGCTCTGCGATACAAAGATTAACCAAGTCAGCACATCCAAACATCTCATTTTCTTAAGTGACATATTTCATTTTGTAATTCAGAAACAGGTTATTAAATTGATTAAGACAGTCAAAAGATAAAATTTACTTTAAATTTGGGGTGGTCCATATGTTTATTACCTAGACTCTTGATTGGCCAAAATTTAAATGGCAACAGTCTTGATCCTGCAAATATTTAACTTTAACATTAAAAGAAACTTAGTGTATTGTTTTTGACAATTACTTTGTCTGAGATTCCTACACTGCCCACACATTATCTATTGACTGACATTATATCTGATATGCTTAAATATCATAATTATGAATTATAATGGTGAAAGTTTACTTTGTGTAGAACTTTGATATTGCTGTTCACTAAAGTCCTACCCAACAGAGATGTTGGCTGTAGAGGGACCCTATGTGTCCTCTGCAAACACGGGTGAAACATTCCTGCAAGTATACCATATATCTTTTAAAAGACTTATTTATTTTATATATATGAGTATGAGTACATTGTAGCTGTCTTCAGGCATACCATTACAGATAGTTGTGATCCACCACTATGTGGTTGCTGGGAATTGAACTCAGGACCTCTGGAAGAGCAGTCAGTGCTCTTAACCACTGAGCCATCTCTCCAGCCCATGGTATACCATATTTTAGGAGCCTTCTTGGGCTTTGTAGAGCAGTCTGGTTCAAGAGGAATTCTGTAGGAAGGACAGTGTCCATGAAAGAACAAACATTCATGGAGCGTTACACTGTTACACTTTGTTTCTAATTGGATTTTTTTTTTTTTTGGCTCCAGGACCTACTTTGGGAAGGAAGTTGAGGTTGCAGCTCACACACATCTGGATTCACACAAAGTTGAGAAACCGAAGAACCATTGGATGCTGGTTACTGGAAATCCCAGAAATAAGTCGAACACCATGCTCGACCTCTCCAAACCCACCACAGAGGACACCTGTGCCGTGGAGCAGGCCATGGGCATCAACACGTAGTGACATACCAGGCATACACATGGCTTCTCAGGCTCCACTCTCACCAACTGTAGAACTTAAAAGAAATGATCAATCTTCTTGGTTGTGCCCCAAGCAGTTTTTCAGTAGGTGCAAAACCCCATGAATATGACATTAAAAGAAATACCTTGTTAAAATTACTGAATTGAAAATGGAAGCCTAGCCCTGGGGAGTAAATAGTGTTTGAAAATGAGTACTATTTGAAATTAAATCAACTTTTGTTGATATTCTAATTGTGAAGAACTTAGTGCCCCCATTCAGAGCCCCTTGCTTAGCTGGACCAGTGAGGCCTATGCTCCTTTCCAAAGCTGTGTTTATGAAATAAAGAGGTCAGAAGTTTATGGATGTTTTGACACTTCTTCCATGTAGAACAATGTGTAGTTAGGAGATGTATCTTTGCCTTGGAATTAGTTTTTACTTTTCTTTCTTCACCAAAGGCAATATTAGAAATATTTTGGGTTCCCCCCCTACTAGTAAATTCATCATCCAGAGTTTTTTTTTTAAAGAAATGATCATCTAGCTCAATCTACATATTTGATGAGAATGCAATATAAATTCAGTTACTGACCCCTGGAAAGCCCAACTGCTTTACTAGATCCTAGCCCTAAGGAGATACCCATTTAAAGCAGACAGTTGGTCAATAGAAAAAGAAAACAATACACATCCTGCTTGAAAACTAAGGCAGAAGGCTTCAACTGAATTATTAAAAAAAAATAAACAAAGGCACTCAAGGATCAAAGAAGCTTTTCAAAACACATTCCAAGGAAAATAGCAGTGGGTGTCATCGCTGGACTGATTAGGCAGCAGGCAGAACTGTCAGGTGTCAGATCCTGCAGGACTAATGGCCTCACGGGGCAATGTCCAGAAGGGGGAAAAAAGACTCAGTCTGGGAGGGGAGTCACAAGACTTCCGGGGCGGGGCAGAGGCAGGTTCTCTAAGAGGTTACTTGGGGTTGGCTCCCGATCAGTTTCATAATTGCCAAGTACTTTTGAAGAGCAGAATGGGGGTGTCTGGCAGTCAGGCATCTTTTCTGATTTGGCATGCAGTTACCTACGGTGGCCACAAGATGTCAACATTAATAACGTTAACAAGTCAATCCCTAGAAAGGGCTCGATTAGTTGAGTTGGGCTTATTTTCAAATTATGTGGGACTTTCCAGCTTCCAAAAGAGTGTTTTAAGAGGGAGAGAATCATAAAAACCACCCCGTTAAGAGGAAAATACAAATTTTCTTTTAAAAGTTTCAAATTATAAAAATACGGTGTCTGACACATAAACATATGTAAAACCTGCTGCGAGTGGATTTGGGAGGGTGTGTGTCCAAGTTTCAAGTTAAAGCTCAGCCTTAGGCATTTGACAGACATTCATCCGGATCTCATAGTTGTCCCCAATCACCAACCCGAGCCTCAGGCTCAGGACTCCTCAAGATGTGCGAGTCCAAGGCCACGTCTGCCCCTTGCTGGCCACTCTCTCATCAAACCCCGACTAGCTACCTCAGAGCTGTTCAGAAGTGTAAATGACACGTTTTTGAGAGACAGGAAGAGACCAGTGGCCACTCAAAGGACTCCGTGAGGACACTGGTCGCTTTCTAGGGGTGTGGCTATGGGAAGCTAGGGCTCCTCTTTGAACCTCTATTCACCATAGGCTGCAATGTCACCCATCAACATCGTCCCTCTGCAGACTGGGAAAGGTTACGCGTGCTATGCTTTCTGCATCCACTTGTCATTCCTCACCAACAGCTGACAGTGCTATTTGGCCTCAGCGGATCTCTGATTATCCTGCATGCTGCCTTCTGACACTAAATTTAATTTTTTAAATGTATTTTTAATTTTTATTTATTTTATTTTATTAGTTTATTGTATTTTTATAGCAAACTTACAGAAACGGCATAGAAGACAGACAACATTAAAAACATGTACTTGCATGTAGGACAACTCAGAAAAGTATAGTGAATGAATGGAATCTACTGTATGATAAAAATGCTACGAACACCATTTAGTGGCCATCAATAAGAAATTCACTTATTTTTTTAAAAATCCAAATGCTGGCATTGTCCAGAAAAATTTAACAGGTTTATTTATAATTGTCATAAAGTTGAACTGTTGAAATGTGTTCACTGAAACATTTTGCTTGCATTAATGCTTTCCATCTTGCATTTATATGAAAAATTCACACACAAATGAATGTGGAGAAACTGCCAATACCTGATTCTGTCCCCTATATTTCCACTCGCAATCATGTACTTAGGTACCTTTGACCCCAATGAAAAAAATATCTAACATTCAGAACTACTGATAACAGGAAGAAGAGGAAAAAAAATTTTTTTTTTGAGAATGAAATGTTTCCCCTCATAGTGGACTCTTAAACACACTCTCCGAGTATGCAGCGTGCTAGCTGGATATCTTTTGGCATAATTGTTACACGTTTGGCATGGATAGCACACAGATTGATATCTTCAAAAAGGCCAACCAGATAGGCCTCACTTGACTCCCGAAAAGCACCAATAACTGCACTCTGGAAGCACAGATCTGTTTTGAAGTCCTGAGCAATTTCTTGCACCAGACGCTGAAAGGGGAGCTTATGAATCAGAAGTTCAGTGGACTTCTGATAGCTCCTGATTTCACGTAGTGCCACAGTACCAGGCCTGTACCAATGAGGTTTCTTCACCCCTCCAGTAGAAGGCGCACTCTTGTGAGCGGCTTTTGTAGCCAGTTGTTTCCTGGGTGCTTTACTGCCCGGTGGATTTGCGGGCACTCTGCTTTGTACGAGCCATGGTATGGGCACCTCCTTACTTACCACCCTTCTTCTTCTGCTAGAGCTCGACAAGCGAAAGGTGGCACTGGCGTTAGAACGGCAGTGGTGCCGCAGCGAAGGCTGAATATTTTGCCTGTGCCCATGTTTGTGCATCACATATGTGCAGTGCCCTTGGAAGCCAGAAGAGGGTATCAAATCCTGAGTTATAGAGGGTCATTAGCTGCATGGTACTGAGCTGAACCTGTATCTTCTTCAAGAGCTAAAGTGTTCTTGAGAGCTGAGCCGTCTCTCTATCCCCAAGAAATCCAAGTTTTAGTATTTGTTTCTCTTCTACCACACTACGAGCTCCTTAGACAAGCTGTCTGTGTGCACATGCATGCTTTTGATGTGTGCTGCCCCTGTTCAGATACATTGCTTAGCTCATACTATGGCCACTCACTGATATTTTCTCACTATGTCGCAAATGGAAGCTTAGGAATATGGGGGCTTGCCTAGCACTGCGCATTAATTGTCTTCTTCATCATCAACTTCCATTGTGAATCAAAATGGTATTTCTTTCCTTTGCTACTGTGGCGACCGGGAAGCTCCCTGAAAGCAGAGAATGGAGCTCCCAATCTGTCCCCTGAGTAGAGCATCATTGCAGTCACCATCACCATCACTAATGTTTATTGATCACTTGCTGTGTGCTAGGCCTTTGGTTGTTTCATTACTCCCATGGCAATCAATTTAATTCTCACTGCCTGTGAGATAGGTAAATTATCTGAAATTTACAGAACAGGAAATCTACAAGATAGATTAGCAGAGTCTGTGTCCCATGATCAGTAACAAGGGAGTCAGGCAGCCTGGAACCCTGCCAAGGGCAACTATCTGTCTCTGTTATGTCGTAGACAGAGATCCTGAGACTGACTGGGCTACTAATACTGAAACTCAGAAATGCTGAGTTGTATTCTAAGGTGTGACCTTGGATGTGTCGTCAAGTTATACACCAAGACCTGCTGCAAACGTGTCCCCCTACTGACAGAGGGTGGAGCAGGATGGTAAGTGCTTAATGCACAAAACTGTGCCCAATCTGCACTGTGGAACTCTGGGCTGGGTGATAATTTCTAATGGCTTCAAAGGGACGGTATGGTCTCCTGTGATCATGTAGGAGATGACCAGTGTCCATAACTGGGTTATTTGAGGGGATTTAGAGCCCTACCTCATCAGAGCTGGGTGGGAAGACCCATGCCTGCAGGCAATGGAACTGGGAGAAGGAGGCAGCGGGAGGGAGGCTGAAGAGCAAACTCAGCTCAGGTAAAGTCCACAGCAGGCACTAACGGTGGGATGGCCACAGAGAAGGGCGGAGACCTGAGCACTCGTCATGTCAGGAATACACAGTGGAACTGGAAGCATTTGTGACAACATAGACGAACCTATAAATGAGAAGGTCGCAGAAGGATAGTTTCGGTGAGATCTCCCACGCAGAATCTTGAGTAAGTAGAGGAGAGAAGGGTGAGTCAGAGTGTGAGTACAGAGATGCTCTGAGCTAGGACACAAGCTTCCGGTTACATGAGGACCAAGCTTTATGCACGCTTCCAAGGCTCATAGTCACTACTGGAATGATTTAGAAAAGTTGGCATAGCATGAATGAGATATATATATATATATATATATATATATATATATATATATGCACATATGTATACACACATATTTGTACATTATATATGCACATATGTATACACACATATTTGTACATTATATGTACAAATTAAATGTACATGTATGCACATATATTTGTATATACACATATGTATATGTATGTACATAAACATATATACATAAACACATGTACATGTATGTATACATATGTGCATATAAATGCATATACATAATCATCTTCTTGATATAGATATATATAGGTATAGATATACATATAGGTATACTATACATATAGCTATACATCAAGTTATAGATACATATACATATACAAATGTACACATACACATGCATATAATGTAATATTCATATCCATCCTATATATAGATAAATATACATAACAAATGTGTATATACACATATGTATATATATGTACATATATATGTTTTATAATTTTTGAGTTTTATATATTTGAAAATGTTCTTGATCTGGGGATGCTGCAATAAAAAGAAAACTGGTTCTCCTGGCTCTTCAGCAGTTACCTGCGACTTGTAATTCTTTTGCAAAGCACCATTATAGCATATATTTTTTTTGAGATGCCTCACAATAAAGCTCTAATAGTTATTTTCTAAATGAAAAAAGGAAACGTGGTACGGATAGAATCTTGATTTGTTAAAAACGAAATTCAAACATTTAATTCCTCCTGAGCATCTGCAGTGAAGCAGACCCGTTTCATCACAAACCCCAAAAAGTCTTGTCAAGTTTTGTTCGTGGCTCATTTAGGACTCCATGAAGCGTCATGTAACTCGGTGAGTCTTAGACTGCTAATGGCCGCTTATATAATTCAAAACACTTGGGTGTGTAGCTGATTTTAAAAACATTAATGGAAAAATTTGGAAATAATGCTGGCAATATTTAATTTTAATTAATCATGCAATTCCTTGAATTATAA